TGGGCTTAGAGATGTTCACATCATCATCAAACGTGGTCCAGCCAGTGGCTTTCCACTTGAGCTTTGCCTACTTCCCAAGTCTAAGTGTTGTTAGAATTTTTAACTTTGGTTATCACTGTAAGAGGTCCTTAAAAGCTACTTTTGCTGGGCCCACCAACTAACTAAAAGCAGAAGAAAAGCTTGGCACTCTCCCTCCATTTTTAAATGGGTCTCTGCTGTAAGCCATTGTCTCTGTAGTCACTTTGTAATCACCTGGGAATCTGGGAAAGGCATGACTGATCAATAACATCAGAATGATAAGGATGGAAGCTACCCTTAGGGAACTGTAGAGCATTACAGAACAAGTCACCCTGTAGTGATGACTGGTGATGACAGTGGCAACAGTTCCTCTTCAGAACTCCTCACAAAACAAGTACTGAAATAACCATCAACCAGGCCCTCTTCAGACTTATGCGTATCTGTCTGCTCCTTTCCCCAGTTCCTTGTCTATTTAAAGTTAAAGCTCACATCTGTATCCTAAAGACAGCAGAAGATGTCCTGAAGTCTGCTGCTTCTCATGGTTGCCACAATCTTTGCTCTTTCTCTGCTCTTTCTCTGCTCTCTCTGTTTGTTTCACAGAAGCAGGTAGCCAGATCTGACATGTACAATTCTTGGAGTTTGTGCCTGGTATCTAAAAATTCTGCTTTCATATTAATAAGATTTTAAGGAGATGCCATGGTTTAATTTATTTCTCTGAATAGTCTGAAGCAGCATACTTCATATGGCTATTGGTTTGCTTATGTTTCCTGTTCATTCGTTTCTTTTGCCTGTTGTGCTGTTTCAGTTTCATTCATAGGTGAATGGTATGTGTTGCAAATATTCTCTCCACACTTATGTATATGTTAAAAACTTTTTAAAAGGATATGTTCAATAGCACTTTTAAATTTTCATGTGGTAAATATGTTTATATTTTTCCTTTATGACTTCTGCTTTTTTGCATTTCTAAGGAAAAGTTTCCCCATTGACAAGGCCATAGGAATATTTTTCCTTCTCTTTATAATAATTTGAAAGTGAAATTTTTAAAGCCTTCAGGCTAGAAGTCTGTTTTAATGAATTTTTTAATTATACTTATTTTGTGCTGGTCTTGAGGCCTGAACTCAGGGCCTGGGTGCTGTCCTTAAATATTTTTGCTCAAAGTGAGCACTCTTATCTCTTGAGCCACAGTTCCACTATGCCTTTTTGGTGATTAATTGGAGATAAGAGTCTCATGAACTTTCCTGTCTGGACTGGCTTTGAATCACAATCCTCAAACACAGTCCTCAAATCTCAGCCTCCTGAGTAGCTACGATTATAGGCATGATCGACTGGTATTTAATTGTGACTTTTATATCTGTTATGAAATGAACTGAAATATCTTTTTTTCATGTGGTTAGCTAACCTTATTGATTATATAGTTTATTTCCATATCTTTGAAATGCTACCATGTACATCTATCAATATCTATCTTTATTTGAGGATCCATTCTGCCTTATTCCTAACTCAATAGCTTACTGTTTAAATAACTGCTCTTTTATAATATAAATATTCAGTAAGCAAATTTGCCTCTTATTTGTTATTCTTAAAATCTTGTTTATGGACTATTCCACCATATTTTCTCTTCTAGGATCAGTTAGTTATTTCATTACCTAAGAAATATTGTTGGGACTTTTGATAGTTATTTAAATAAGTGTGGAAATATTCCAAAGATATAGATTATGATTTAAAGCCCTCAAGATGCATTATTTTGCATCCTGTATTTATTAGTCCGACTGGATAAAGAGCAGATAGACTCAAAATCTGTCAGGATGTTCTTTAAAAATAGTAAACCTAAAGTATGGATGCAATATTATGTTTTTGGGGAGTGACTTAGTGATAAGAAAGTACTTGAACTTCTAGCTTAGTTCTGTGGCAAACCCACTTTAAATAAGCAATTTTACATAGAGAAAAAGCCCTGGAAAATTGTGCCTCCACTTTTACTAGTAGAAACCACCAGTTCATGACTTGTTTGCTCCTCAGGAGGGTGAAGCCAGAAAATGACAATTGAAGTAGCAGCCTCTGTTGTGTTGTGAGTTTTGTGTTACATAATCCCACTGCCTTGACTTTTCTCTTGGATAGCATGTCACATTTGAAGACCTCAGGGCACATTATGAACATTAACTAATTAAACTTCACAAATCCCAGGAGACATTGGAGAGAGAGCGGTATAGCATCACCTTGCCCAGCTCTGAAATGCAGCTACCTCTGGAGACAGGGTGGCAGCTGCTTAATAATAAACTATAACACCTCACGACAGTTTAGCCAAGACAATTAGTCATTGTAGTTGGTAATTGTCTCATGAACATTAAACTCTCTAAATTGTTGTCACCAAGATTATTAGTTACTTGGAAATCCTAATCTATTTATTAAGACTTGTTTTACTTCTCAGTAATTTTGTCCTATTTATATAGGAATATATACACAGTGTAGGTCTATGCTCTTAGGTGGTGGATTGTTTTTAGATTGGTCTTTTGTAGTTTAAAACTTAAAATAGGAAAGAAGTTTCTTGTTTTGTTTGCTTTTGTAGTATTAGTGATTAAACTCAGGACATTAGGTATGCTAGGTAAGCGGAAGAACTTTACCACATATTCCCAGCCAGAAGAACTTAAAAAATAAAGTACAATGTAAAAAATTGAGAACTCTAGATATGAGATGTGAGTGGTTTTTCTTTGGGGGACACTAATGAGGTTTAACTCAGGGCCTCATAACGAGCAGGTACACTATTGCTGAGCAACACCTCCAGCTCTGTTTCTTCTGCTAGTTATTTCCTGGACCATAATCTATCTATTTTAGACTTCCCTGTAGTCACTGGTATGATAAGTGTGTATCACCACATCCAGCCTCCCTCAACTGAGATGGAATTTCATAGACTGTCTTGCCTGCTCTGGTCTTGAACTACGATCTTTCTATTCTCAGCTTCCCATGTAGTTTGGGGTGACAGGTGTGTGCCACTGCACCTATATATAAGTTGAGAAAAAGTCTTGCGAACTTTGCTCCTTGGGCTTGCATTGAACTGTGGATCCTTCTGTTGTCAGCACCTCAAGTTGGTAAGGTTACAAACCTGAACCACTAGTACCCAACGTGATCTGAGTGGGTTTTTTTTTATTCAAAAGTTTGCTACTAGGCAAAACTAGTCAGATAGTAGACGTCAGAATAGGTATAATTGACTAGACAGGGAGATGCGGGACGCTCCTAGGAGTTGAAAATGTTTTGAATATCAACCCTGGTTTACACAGGGTCAATATATGTAGGAACTGACTGAGCTGTATATTTTTCCATGTGTTTTACCTCAAGAACAATGTAAATCTGAAAAAGGCACACTGCTCTTGTCATCAAGAAAGTGCTTGAAGACTGGAAAATATTGCAGAGCACGAGAATAATACTTAGAAACTAGAGTCATGATACATTTTTATTTTTCTCCAAAGCATCTTTCTTCAAAAGAGGGATTCTAAATCTTTTCTCAGGAAATTTTCTCTACATGTCCAAAGAACAACCTTTTATGCCAGGATGTGATTCTCTCCCATTGTATCTTTCTCACTATGCTGTTTTTATCTCCCTGGGCATCTCATTTTTCTCTTAGAATCTCATTCTAGTTCATTTGCTGTTCATTCATTGCCAGAAATAGGTGGAAGGCATTTCATGATCCATTAATTTAGGCAGAAAGATGCACACAGGAGCTGTTGCATTGACAGGTGTTAGAAGAGTTCTAGGGAGAGAAGGAAGCAAAGAAGACCCTGGGATGGTTAAAGACAAAGGTAGAGCAGCATGCCCATGCTAGCAGCAGAGACTCTAGGGAATGTCCAGGGGAGACAGGGTCCCTTCTGCATCTGGGCAGAGCATCCCAGGGCAGCTAGCAGCTAAGACCCAAAGACTGAGAACAATATCTCAGCTGGGAATCTCCTAGCAGTGCAGGCCTCGGGCAAGGCAGAAGACAGAAGTTACTCTTGCTGTGGTGGGTTTTCTAAATCCCCTTCCTAGTGCATGGGGGGGAAAAGGAGAGGAAAAAAAAGGACCACAATTTTATATTATGAGGAAGTTAGGATTGTGAGAAAGTCAGAGGGAAGCGTAAAAGTCCTTTTTAAGAGAAAATAGGGTATACTTTTTTTCTTACTGCAAGTTTTCGTGCAGGTTTAAACACATGATGAATACTCTGATTATTGACCTTTTTTTGTCAGTTGTGGGGCTTGAACTCAGGGCTTGGGCTCTACCCCTGTGCTCTTCAGCTCAAGGCTATGACTCCACCACTTGAGTCACAGAGACACTTCTGGTTTTCTGGTGATTAATTGGAGATTAGAGTCTCATGGACTTTCCTAACTGGGCTGGCTTTGAACTGCAATCCTCAGATCTCAGTCTCCTGAGTAGCTAGTATTACAGGCATGAGCCACCAGCACCTGGCTGATAATTGACTTTCTAAAACATATTAAGACAATAATGTTCAGCTCTAATTCTCTAGCTTAGGAAATATGAAGTGAATTTCATAGCCATTGTCAGACTCCCAAGTTTACTCTTTTATTTCCCAATGAAGAGAGAGTTGTCCTTGTGCCTAATCCATGGCATCTAGTAGCTCCAAAGTAGTTGATTGTGGTCTTTGTCACATTTTGTCTTAAGATCAATTCATAGCTTGCTACTTAGGATGGCATGATAACCAGTTGTTAATAAACTTCAAAAGGTATTGATGTCAAAAGAGCCTGTTGGCCAGTGACTGGCAGAGGTCCTTTAAGCACCCCTTCCCTGGGGCAGGATCATTTCCTTTCCATCATGCACAAGAGGTTGCAGAGAGGTTGAAGGGGAACTTGCTCGGATCTTAATGTTGGTCAGGATAGGTTTTGGAGTACTTTCAGTTACACCATTGTTTAGAAATACTTGGACCATGCCACCCAGTTTCCTGAGATTTTGTAAGTATCTATTCTGTATTTTCCGTTCTTACTCTGCTCTTCCTCTCAAAGGTGCTGTTTTCTCAAAATCCTCAAAGTCACAGGAACAAGTTCCTCCAGAGATTTTGGAGCAATTTCAGGTAAAGGAGACCTCCCCTGCCTGGGGTATGGAAATGGCCCTAGACCATCAAGTGCTTTTCTAACGCTAGGGTCATTACAAGCAGGTTCTTGTATCTGGGGCAGAAAAAAGGCTCATAAGCACAAAGGTCAGGAGATGGACCTGTTTGTAATGTTGGATCAAAATATCATGAATACGATCCATCCAGGCCAGATCAGAACTTCAGCCCTTTCCTACCTTCCTGGCTGCCTCTCCCATGTTTTCTGGAGGCTGGGACAGAGAAAGCTGCTGATTTAAAGCTGGTTCTGAAATACAGCCTTTCTGAAAAACCTTGTAAGTCTTCTGCCTACTCAGGTACAACAGCATGTTTTCTCCTGACCTGACTGCCCTGTGTAGTCTACAGAAATGTCTTTCTCAATTCCTGGAAGAACTACTGGCTTTGCAGTCCTTGCCTGACTTCAGGGGGAGACTCTACTGTACCTGCCACTGCCAGCATGAGAGGGTTTTATGCTGCCACCCTGTCTTAGGCTGAGGGGAGTCTGGGATTGGCCTGAGATAGAGTAGATAGAATTTAGTTGGTGGGTCCAGGAGTCCAGTCACCATTTCCTTGGGCCCCAATAATATCAAATTGCTCACATTTTCTGGGCTGTAGATCTCCATACCCTCCTACTTACTCATCCATTTTGTCCTCAGGAATTAGGCCATTCAGGTTTCCTCCTTTTAGAAGACTTCATCAATAAAATGGAGAAGGATTAAAAGAAATGCACTCATGTCTCTCTTAATATCCTGGTACTATATCAGTACTGCTTATTTGCCATAAGCTGTGTTTCACAATACAGTTCATTGGGCTTGTCTGAGCCCTACATCTATTTGTCCCTAGAACCTCTTCTGTAGTCCAAAATTAGGGACAGGTAGAGAAATATTGCTTCCTGTGCTCTAGCTCCCTCTTTCCTTTCTTTTTTTCTCCTTTCTTTCTTTGGACCAAACAATGTTTCCCTTACTTGAAAATTCACACAGAGATCAGAGAAGGGAGGGAGTCTTCAGGTCACCTTGATTGTCCTGATTTTCATGATTGTCACTATGGAAAAATTCATGTCTATCTCCCAAATCACAAAAGGACAAAATCTGTAGTGGTTAGGTATCATAATTTATTCAATGAGTAGAGATTTATTCATGCAGATCAGGTGCTTATAAAGATCAGGCCTTCTGCTAAGTGCTGAGAGTATCATAAGAACAGGTCACAGCATTAGCCTGCAAGAGATTATTCATGATGGAAAGAAGAGAAAGGCTTCCAGTGAAATATATGAATATGAAGGTAGGATACAAGAACAGGCAGCTAAAAGGAGATCGGACTTTTTAAAAGAAGATTGGATGGGGGCTGGGAAGGTGGCTCATTGGTAAGAGTGCTTGTCTTGCATGCATGAGACCCTGGGTTCGATTCCTCAGTACCACATAAGCAGAAAAAGCCTGAAGTGGTATTGTGGCTCAAGTGGTAGAGTGCTAGCCTTGAACTGAAGAGCTGAGGGACAGCACCCAGGCCCAGAGTTCAGGCCCCACGACTGACAGAAGAAGAAGAAGGAGGAGGAGGAGGAGGAAGAGGAGGAAGAAGAAGAAGGAGGAGGAGGAGGGCATAGATCATTGAGGGAAATGAAACTAATGAATGGGATTATGAAATACCAAGAACCTATACTTCTGAATGAAATGGAGTAAGCGACTGACTAAAGTGGAATAAGAGAGACTGGATTTACTGTCTTGTCTAAAACAACAAAAAAGTGGCTAAAATACATAAAACAAGGCATCGTTCCAAGATCTGTCACTGTAACAAAGTTAAGCATAGAAAATGAGCCATGCAAATCCTGTGATTGTCTCAGTTTAATGCCCAGAGCAAGTTTCCTGGCTCCCTCACAGTACAGGAGAAATCTTAAGACTTCTTGAACTGAAAAGACAGATCTATAAGTGTAAGGTGGAAAATAAAATCACTAAGGTTTGAAGGACAGGAGCAGAAAGGAAGCTTCAGAAAGATAGAGATCATTTGTCATCAGGGTTCAATTGAATTTTCATCTGAGTACTGATTAGTTTCCTAAGGGTAGATTGAGGAAAGAACCTTCCTAGAGGGTTAGATAACAGTGTCCAATGCTTATAACAAACTGGGAATACCAGTCCTTACTAGCCATACTGGAAACTATTTCACAAGGCATGGCTAAAGGGCATGGAAGAGTCTTGCCTCAGTAGAGGGGAATAATTTGTTCTGAAGAAAGCACTTCTCCAGTTCTGTCTGATAAATATCTCTACATATTTATCTAGAGATATCTAGATATCTAGAGATATTTATCAGACCAAAAGGATCAAATTGTTTCTAAGTATCTTTACTGATCTCTAAACAAAATCCAAGAATATTTGTATTACTATAAAATTATCCTGTGAAATTCACAATATTTGGGACCCAATAAAACTTCTATGTACTAAAAATCTGGGAACATATGATGCACAGGAAAGATATAAATCCACTAATTGGAACCAAACCATCTGAACATATTTTAGAATTAGTGGACAAGAACATTAAAATGATGCATTTTAACTATATTTTATGTTTAAAAATTAGAAATATAAAACATGAAAGTGTTCCAAAACAAATTTCTAGATGTAAAAACTATAATGAATAAGTTGAAAAATACTGGAAGAATTAACAGAATGGAAGAAAGGATGAGTAAACTTGAAACAGAGAAATGAGAATAGTTTTTTTTAAAAAAAGATGAATATATCAATGAGATAAAATTCAACTTTAAAAAACTAAACGTGTGAATTTACAAATCCACATAGAAGAAGGGAGAGGTTAAAAAGCTGAAGAAATAATTGCCAAGAATCCTTAATAAATTAACCTACATGTACTAGAAGTTAAACAAGAAACAGGAAGAAAATTATACCAAAACCAACACTGATCAAATAGTTGAAAGCCAGCGAGGAAGAGAAAATCATAAAGGCAGCAAGAACCTCATGGGGGTGAAAGACTGAGTCAGGAACAGGGTATCCTTACAAAGGTAACAGTATCCTTGCAAGGTAAAGATGACAATAAATTTATTGCTAGAAATAATGCAACCATAAAGTGGTATCAAATCCAGGACCATGCATATGCTAGGCATATGCTGTACTAAGCTATATCCCTAGGACTGTAGTCATATTTAAAGAACTGCAGGGAAAAAAACCTAGTCATCTTAGAAATCTGTACTCAACAAATATATTTCTTTCAAAAATAAACGTGAAAGGGAACTAAGGCCAGCAAGACAGCTTACTAGAGGTGTCTGCTGCTCATCCATGCACACACACAAGAAAGGAACAGAATGAAAGAAAAACAAGTATTTAATGGGAGTGTCAGAGTGCAGTAGAGATACGGCAGACATTTAGTGGCACTACACGGTTGTGTAGTGGAGTGTACCACAACCATAGAAAAATCCAACTCAGAGTTATACATAACAAGCCTGCAGAACAGCTTAAAATGTTGTCTTTTCTATCTCTCCCTCCTCCTCTCTCTCCCTCCATTGTTCCTTCCCTCCCTCCTCTTCCCCCTTCTCTTTGTCCCTCTCTCACTCCCTTTGTCTCTTCTCTTTCCCCTTCTTCTTCCCTCTTCCTATCTTCCCCTCTCTTTCTTTCTGAAGTGGAAGCTGTTTTCATTCCCCCACCCCCACCTTTTTCTTTATAGATGAGGAAACTGAGGATCCATTACTTTCATAGCCAGTTGGCAGTGGTACCAGGGTCTGAACAGTGGCAGCCTTTTCTAGAATTTGGATCCTAAATCACTATAAATGCAGTAAAGTCTTGTGTCTTGCCATTGTCATTTGCAGAGCAAAATCATGGACGATTTGAGACTTGATGAATCTCTTTCATCACTCAGCAGTAGTGACATACAGGTAGGTCTTTATTCTTCAGCCTTCCTAGCTGTCTCTTGCACCTGGTTTTTTACAAACCACTGTCCTTAAGCCCTGCTCCATAAAGCTTCCTCTCATTATCACTGACCACATTGTGGTTAAGCTTGATCATATTCCTGAGGTCCTTCTGGTTTCAGAACGATGGACTTCCCAAGGGTCAGCCTGCAAATCCTCAAGAACCCTGAGGAGGCAGAGTACAGGAGTTAGACCCATGATGTCAATGGGACACCAGCACAGAATAGTGCACCCATACATTGGAGCTCTGTGGGAAGCCAACTCACTGCTGTCTCCTCTCCAGATTCTGAGCAGTTAAGGAGTCTGTGTAGAAGTCAGCTTGGGGGTACATGTGCCATTTTTTAATAGAGAACAAATAGGACTCTGACATAAATGAACTTCCCATTTCTCCTTGGGGAAGGATCTGTCCTCTCCCAGGGAAGAGAGACATCCAGGACAGGAGCAAGATGTGCTGCCCGAGAGAGATGGCTCTATGTAGGCACAGGTCCACTTTCTGAGTCCATATTAGTATAGGTTGTTGGGTCCCTGCCCCCATCCCCATCCCCATGGCATTCATTCACCTTGAGGATGAGGGCTGGAAGTGCCTGGTGTTTTGCTGGGACTGTACTTGCAGCAAACCAGACTCTTTGGGGATCAACCGTCAGTCTGTGACTGAAGGGAGCTGGAATCAACAAATTAGCTCCTTTACCTCTGAGGATGGGGACAGGACTTGAGTGTATTTTCTACAGTCTCCCAGAGATTTCTATGGGATCAGAACCATGGTGGAGCCCATTTCTGACACATAAGTGTTGATGGCCTTCCCTTACCTACTCTCTCTGAAAGATTTCACAGCACAGCCACTGACAAAGACCCTTAGCTCAGGGTTTTCTTCCAGAGGAACCCACACGAAGAGGATTATATTTACCAAAGTTCATTGCTTGTACCCAAAGGGCGACAGAGGTTGCACAGAGGGTGATAGTTTTCTATCCAGTTTCTAAGACAGAGGCTATTCTTTTAGGAAACTAAACAAGGATGCAGAAGGAAGCCAGAATGTCCCCTTGGCCCCGAATAGAATCTATTGAAACCCCAGAGAGCCTCTGGATAAACAGGTAGATCAATCTCCTATGTTTATTTTCTGACCCTTCCAGTAAAAACCACTGAAATGACAAGGAGTGAAAAGGGCACACATCCACAAAGACAACAGGAGGGAAAGGAGTTATTGAAAGATAAGCACTTTGAAAATATTTAGAATCAAGAAAATCGATGGCGTTTACATTGTCTTTGCACAGCTGAGGAAGTTGATACTTGAGTCTCTATGAGAGACTGGTGAAAGTGTGTGAATTCTCCACAAGGTCAAGGGCTTAGAGGTTCTCCTGAAATGGAGTGAGGAGTGGGGCTGAGCATAAAGGATGTCTGACAGGCTGGACCTCCAGGGGACTGTTCTCTAGAGAAGTTAAACAGACTCTTAAGTTCAGGTAGAGCCTGAATTTATGAGGTTTTGTACCATATGAGGTAATGGTGACAGACAGAGAATGGAGGAGCAAAACTTCTATATTTCAAATAGAGTATTTCTCTCCCTTCCTCCAGCCACATTCTCTGAGTACCAGAAACAAAGTGCTTGTAAGAGTTTAGTGTTGTTGTGATAACAAATCACCATTTGGTGGCTTAAAACAACACAAATCAATTACCTTACATTCCTTGAGGTCAGGTGTCCAAAATGGGTCTAACTATGCAAAGATCCATATAGAGAAGGAGGTGTGTCCTTTCTGGAGGATACAGAGGGGGAATTGTCCCGTAGGGAATTGCCAGCTTCTAGAAGGCAAGTATATTCCTTAGCCTCTGGCAACTTCCCCTGTCTTGAGAACCAGAACAGAATTTTTCCTTTCTCTGCTTCTAACCCTTCTGCTGCCCTATTATAAAGTTCCTTATAATGTCATTAGTGTCCACCTGGAAAACCCCAAGATAAGCTCTTCTTCCTCCAACCCTTCATTTAATGGCATTTGCAAAGTCCCTTTGCTCTTTAAGGTAGCATACCCATGGCTGCAGGGATTTGGACATGCACATCTCTGCCGGCCATTATCCTGTTTCCCCCAGTCCCTTATGCAGGAGTTTAGAAAACTTAATTATCACCCCCCCCCCCACCCTGCTCCACCACGAAAAGAACATAGACCCAAAGAAAAGGCTCCCAGATAAGGCCCCTGGAGGTAGCCATCCCCCAGAATGCTAGGTCTCTGCTTGATCATCCCACAAGGTGCCCCAAGTTAGCCAGTGACTGTTGAATTTTATCTCCCAAGAGTTGGGATTGATGAAAGGGCCTAAACTATGATAAGGAAAAAAAAAGACAAGACCTGGAACTTAAACAGGAGTTACACAGTCAGAAGGCAGATGATACAGTGGGCTAGTAGAGATCAAGTCCAAATTAAAAGAGAGAGGGCAAAAAAGTAAAGGTAACAGGTGTTTCCAGTGCCAGATAGCTTATAAATAGTATTGATCAACATTTGGAAATTCTGGTAAAGCATATGAAAATAGGAATTCTGAACAGACACCATATAGTTTAGAAATAGATAAGGACTGGGGGCATGCTGAAGTGGCAGAATGCTTGTCTAGCAAGGACAAGGCTCTGAGTTCAATCCCCAGTAGAGAAAAAAGCCAGAGGAGGATAAGGAAAGGGAGAGAAGAAAGGAAAGGAAAAAAGGCAGATAGAGTATAGGATGAGGGGACTGATGAATGTCTTTATAAAGTTTTAATGCTAATATTTTAATTTGAATCTATGCACCCATTACTCTGATTTAAAAGAGTTCCAGAAAAGTCTTTGAATCATGTTCATCTGAGATGCTCCTAAAATCAGACTTGGACATGCTCAGTGTTAACCTGCTGGTGGCTGTAGTCAACTGGGCTTTGCTGGGCTCCATGTCACCTCCACACCCACTCCCTGCCTGAACTCCAAAAGACAAAAAATTCTTGTACCACAGAATCATAATTAAAAACAATATAGGGGTCAGAGCAATTTTGCATGTGTACATAATCCCTTTATGCTCTTATCTGTATTCAGTGGTAGTTAAAATATAGGCCCAATATCAAAAGTCAACCGCAAGCATTTATTTTCTGGCCTTTGTGTAAACACTTGCTTAAACCATTTTATAAATTTTTAATCTCATAAAGAACATCTTAAAATTAGTCCTGGCCCAGGATGAAGTTGCTTCAAGTGAGACAGCCACACCTATCCTAGGTGCATCATAATATGAAACTCAGCTAACCATTTGCCTATAAAACTGCAGGAAACAAACAGGATTCCTACTAACTTTCCCTCTCTTCTTGTTCTAGGACATAGGAAAACCATTCAGTGAGATTTCTGTTGCTGGCATAAACGAGATCTTCAGCAGTGAGAGCTCCACTCTCCAGTTGTGGCCTGAAGAGCCCAGCAACTTTCACCCCACCTATAAGGGAGCCTCTGCAGTCTTTTGTATTCAGCTATTTTGTATTGATGAGAAATATGAAGCAAGGCAAGTACTCCCCTCTAGGTTCTCTATTTTGATGAGAACGTCTTATAGCAATGGTGGGACAAGGTTTAAATCTGACAGAACAAGTGGTCTCCAAACTTAACCTCTTATCCTAATATCCTGGGTTTTATTTTTTGAAAAACAAAACAAAATGAAACAGATTTCTGGGCCCCATCCAGAGATTCTAGTATATAAAATTTGGGTAAGGCAAGAAAGCTGGCCAGTCTAGCTGTCACCTACATTATAATTGAAGATGGAGAAAATTACCACCATGTAATCGTATGCTGCTATGGTTCTTAACGTTTGTACTTCTTGAAAACTTCAGGTTTGGATTGGCTCTTGCCTGGGGCCTATTGGTTGTAGCTAACAGAAAATACAATTAAAACTGGCTTGAACCAGGCACTGGTGGTTCACACCTTTAATCTTAGCTCCTCAGAAGGCTAGGATCCAAGTATCACAGTTCAAAGGCAGCCCACTAGCCCAGGCAGGAAAGTTCATGAGACTGATCTCCAATTACCCACAACAGAGCTAGTAGTGGAACTGTGACTCAAGTGACAAAGCACTAGACCTGAGCAATAAAGCTCTAAGACAGTACCTAGGTCCTGAGTTCAAGCCCAAGTACTAGAGGGCATAAAGGGAGGCACTGGTTTGATAGCCAGACACCGGTGGCTCACTGAATAATCCTAGTTACTCAGGAGGCTGAGATCTGAGGATTGTGGTTAGAAGCAGCCTAGGCAGACAAATCTGAGAGACTCTTGAGACTCTTACCTCTTAATTAACCAGTGAAAAGTTGGAAGTGGAGGTGTGACTGAAGTGATATAGGGCTGATCTTGAGTGCAGAAGCCAACCAAGAGTACAAGCTGCTCAGTTCAAGCCCCAATACTAACACCAAAAGTAAATAAATGAGAAAAATTGACTTGATAAAAAAATGTAATTTCCTCACACAACTAAAGATAACTCAAGTGATAAGGCCAATTTTAATTAGGGCTCAATCCCAGACTTCTATAGCCAATTAAGGATTGCCTTTCGATCTCTGCTCTGGTCCCCTGCTATCCTCTACTCTTAGGGAGGTGTCAACTTCTTTGGGCCAAAGTAGCTGAGGAAAACGTTCTGGTTTATTTTCCAGCAAAGGTTCTTAGAAGCCTGAATGTACCGTATTCTTATTCCTGAGCAAATGCTTCAAGATGAACTCAGTCTCGTGCCTCAAGCTGTACCCATTTCTAAGGCTCTAGATAAGTGGGACACCCTTATCCAGTCCAGGAGAGCTGCTGGATAACGGAGGCATGATGTTGAGCACAGAAAGACTGAATGTTCCCAGATCATCACTCAGTCACTCCACTCCCTTTCCCTCCAGAGCACCGGTATATTCAATAAGTGCTGCCCCCACCCCACACTAAATAGGGACGACTGGACCTGAGACCCAAGCTCCACATCTCCTTTGAGATGTTTCCTGCATCATTTGTCCACAGAATGTTCTTAAAGAGGAAAAGACTGACTGGTTTCAATAGAGCTTGAATCTTTCAGATGACCAAGAACAATACTGGCCATTTCCTTTTTAAGAGGATAGATTTAAATATATCCCCAATCTTCTAGTTCTTTCTAGAACCATGTTTTACTTTTACATGTATATAGATAGATATATAGATAGATAGATAGATAGATATCTATCTATATATACATTTACATAGATATATACAATTTCAACTTCTAAGAAATCTTAGAATTGGAATTTTCTGACTATATTGTAGAGATCTGAAAAGCTCGTACAGTAAAGCTCTTCTAGATTTGTTATTTTATGTTTATTCCCCTTATGTATTTAGATATGATTGGGCCTAGATGCAATTTGGGGGTCTTTAAATAGAAGTTGAATAAGCTTATGATTTACCTGTGAGTGTGTATAGGCTTCTGTCAGAAGATAGCTTGTAAAATAGAGAGAAAGAAGATCATACTAGACTATAGTATACCCATGTCTCTACTCAAATCTTTCAAATGGAAAGCAAGTACCTTATCCATAGAATGACCATCTTTTATTTGGCTTTTCAAATGTGCAGAAATTATTCATCATGATGACAGTATCTACTGTTTTACAAAATATTAGTGACATCTGAGGTTTATGGTTTATGCAGCCAATTAACACGGTACTAGACACAAATTCAGAAGAGTGGTTGGCTATTCATTACTGCCCAACAGGGAGAAAGCCACAAATATCTTTAAATGCCCAATGATGCTACATTTATTTGCTATCCAGTGACAGTGTATTCTATCTTGTTTACAGGTCACTGGATTTTATGAGTTTTGTTTTCAGTCTTTTTCCTGTAAGTACCTGCTAAATTTTGAGTAGCATGACTAGTTTCATAGTTAAGTTATAGAAAAGTAAAATATCATGTTCATTATGTAGACATTTAAAATGCTATGAATGGCGACATTTGAACTGTATCTGTGTTCTGAGAATAATGACATATCATCAACACAAAAGGAAATGCCATCATTTTCAATAATTCATCAGTCATGCTATTTTAACAGTTTTCTTTCAATGTATAATTTCTTTAGAGATCTTTTTCATCTTAAAATAATCTAATAAACCATTTGGTGTTTTTATTAGAATCAAATCATTCATAGTAGTACATGAAAGTGCCAGATATTGCACTAAAGTAAATTAGATCACTTAGTAAATTTAAACTTCAGTGAATTTAGGGAGCCAGACTTTCTAGCTGATCCTGGCTCAAGTTTATTCAGAAATCATTGTACTGCTTTTTTTGTAGACAGGAAAGTAGATTTTTGTGTCTGATTTTCAGGCTCTCTCCTTCCCTACCTGTTTCTAGGGCCTTACTCAAGGTCTGGCATGGTTTACATGGTACACAGGCATCCAGATTTAAGCAGGGTTATTTCAGGGTGGGTTGACATTTTTCTCCTCCTCCTCCTCCTCCTCCTCCTCCTCCTCCTCCTCCTCCTCCTCCTCCTCTTCCTCCTCCTCCTCCTCCTCCTGCTCCACCTCCTCCTCCTCCTCCTCCTCCTCCTCCTCCTCCTCCTCCTCCCCCTCCTCCCCCTCCCCCTCCTCCCCCTCCTCCCCCTCCCCCCCTCCTCCTCCTCCCCCCCCCTTTCTTCTTCTTCTTCTTCTTCCTTTTTGCTTGTCCTAAGGCTAGGACTCACGACCTGGGCACTGTCCTTGACTACTTTTTTGCTTAGGCTTGTCACTCTAACATGTGAGCCACAGATGTATTTCTAGCTTTTTGATGGTTAATTGGAGGTAAAAGTCTTATGAACTTTCCTGCTTAGCTTGCTTTGAACCACAATTCTATCTCACCTTCCTGAGCAGATAGGATTACAGGTATGAGCTACCTATTCTAAACTATACTCTTTCATCCTTGTTTCATTGTTACCTCAGCATAAAAATTATAATCCATTTGTTAGTACTTCTGAGAAGTATAGAGAAGAAAGACAATTGAGAGACAAAAATGGATTTCCATAAAGTTTTGTCTGCTGAGTCAATAAATATACTACCTCAGTTGGCTAACTTCAAGCAAAATAGCTATCATTGCTACTCTCTTTTATACCAATGTGAAAATAAATATAGTTTAATTTTGTTTCCTGAATGTCATGTAATCTTAGGCTTTATCATTTAAAAAAACATAATGAAGCCTTGAAAAAGGGCCTCATTAATTTTAATTTTAAGACATTTTCAAAGCTCATAAGGCAGTATGGACTAACCCCAACATAGAATTTCCAAAGGCTGTTTCTCTTAAAGATGTCTCAAAGATTTTTCTTTAAACTGGGTTTAATTCCTGTTTTCAAGTCCACCTAACGGTAAATCCACTAGCATTTTGAAAGCAGTGCTGGAGTAGAAAGGTAGAAGACCTACTCACCTTCTAATTCTATTTGATTTGGGGATGTGAGGACACAAGAGCAAAATGCCTTCATGACTTCATCCTTAATCCTTCAAGTTGAAGCAACTCTTATAGTTGGTTTTCTTCTCCCTGAGGAAGCCCCGCCAAGAGGTGGCACCCAACCCTTATTTTCAGCTTGAGTAGTTTGGCAGCCTGATGTTAAAGTTTCCCAAAAGGAGTTGTGTTAATTTTGCTAGAAAGAAGGAAGACAAAGTCAAATAATGATTCACTCCTTTGGGTTGCACAAATATCCTGAGGGTTTTAGATTAGCACAAGTAATACCTTCACAGGGTTCAAGGGGAGGCGAGATCCCAAAGGGACAAATTAGCTCTGGGAAGAGCAGGCTGCTTCTGCGGGGACCTGGCAGAGGATCAAGTGGCTGCAAGGGACAGACAGCCTAAAGCAGTACCATCCATAGACATAAATGCAAACCACACTAGTGATTCTGAATGTCCCCACTGGACATGTGAACAAGTTGAATAACAGATTTTATCTAGTTCAGTATGTCCTGGATTTAGTCACCTCAACATATAATCTACATGAAAAATTATTAATGAGTGATTATACTTTTGATCCATAATAAAATCCAATATGTATTCTACATAATAGCATGGATTAATGCAAATACAGAATTTCTGTTGAACTACTTGATTTGTAGTATATTTCATAACATTGATAGTCTCATAAAAAGATTCTTAGTTGGGTGCCAGTGGCTCATACCTTTAACCCTACCTAACTACTCAAGAAGCTGAGATCCAAGGATCACAGTGCAAAGTCAGCCTGGGCAAGAAAGTCCATGAGACGCTTCTCTCCAATTAACCACTAAAAGAGCCAGAAGTAGAGCTGTAGCTGAAATGATAGAGTATTACCCTTGAGCAAAAAAAGCTCAAGGATAGTGCTCAGGTCCTGAGTTCAAGCCCCAGGCCTGGAACAAAAGAAAAAAATTCATGTATTCAAGTTAGAATGAGCAGATTTGCATAACCTAAACCCACATAAAAAACTTCTCCAATAAATGCAATTGGATACTGGTTTTTAAAGTTTAAATGAGTTTAAATGAAATTAATTAAAAATTCAGTTTCTTTAAGAAGTTCAGGATGTGTGAAATAAGTTTGAAATGTATTTTCTTGTAAATAGGAAGCTTGGGATGTGTTTTGGTAAACATCAGTTAAACCCCTAACAAAGGAAAAATCCAGAATGTGGTCTTTGCTTCTGCCTTATTGCTTTGTTTACTGGAAATTGCTGTTTGTGATTATTGACTGTTTCTGTCATGTACATAACCACTGGCATGTGTCCTCTTTCTTTGATAAGCCATTCTGAGTGTGAGAGAGCTTGATCACTATGCTTCACTACCTGATGAGTGGGGCGGGCATGGTTGTACTCAGCTAATAAAGACTCCTTGCCCTTAAAAAAAAAATTCAGTTTTAGCCAGTGACAGTGGCTCATGCCTGTAATCCTAGCTGCTCAGGAGGCTGAGATCTGAGGATCGTGGTTCAAAACCAGCCTGGGCAGAAAGGCTATGAGACTATCTCCAATTAACCACCAGATAACTGGAAGTGACACTGTGACTCAAGTGGTAGAGTGCAAGCCTTGAGCTTAAAAGCTGAGGGACAGTACACAGGCCTAGAGTTCAAGCCCCATGACTGACCAAAAAAAAAAAAAAATCAGTTTCTTAAGAGCCAGTGGCTCATGCCTATAATCCTAGCTACTCACAAGATTGAAGCGTGAGGATGACAGTTCCAAGCTAGCCCTCACAGGCAAATCTGTGAGACTATTCAATTAACCATTAAAAAAAAAAAAAAAAACAGAAGTAGAGCTGCGGCTCAACTGGTAGAGTACCAAGCCTTGAGTGAAAAAGCTAAGGAATTGTACAATCTCAGAGTTCAGTCCCCAGTACTGGTACAAAAAATTAATTTCTTAGTTATATACCACCCACATTCCAAATTGTCACTAACCAGATGTGGCCATATGGACAGCAAAGATTTAGAATTTGTAAATGGTGTCTGTCAGCACATGCAGATCTTCCTATTGCCACTAAACCTACTGCGCAGATTCAAACTTGCCCTTGGCTTTTTATCAGGAATCACAACATGATAACACACACTACACACACACACACACACACACACACACACACACACACACACACACACATTTATGTATAGATCCAGAAGGGGTAGGGTAACTCTCTCATCTCACCCAGGCTATAGTTAGGTCACTTAGTAAGTGAAAATCTTGGCTCAGATACAATGCTGGTTCACTTACTTATGGACACAAGTGAATTTGAAAGTGAGAATGCTTTAAAATCTCTATCTCAAAAATAATTAGTGCAAAAAGAACTGGAGGTGTGACTCAGAAGTATAGCACCTGCCTACCAAATGCCAGGTCCTGAGTTCAAATCCCAGTACCATATCCCCTTGATTTAAGCAAACTAACAACAAAAAGCTCTACCAAATGGGTGTTATTCTTTCAATATTTATTTGTTCAGTTTTCAGCCAGACTCAGATATTTCCTCCTTACTCTTCTAGTGGGCCTAGCTCCCTGAATTTTATGTGATTACTTTCCAAATTGTAGGCAGATTTATTTTCCGTATCTTTTCCTAAACATTCATTTTGCTTCTATTTTCCCTAGTGTTCTCAAACAGGAGTTTGGTTAATGATGGATTTTTTTAACTATATCCTGTGTCCTGGGTTCTAATCACATTAGGACAAAGACTTCTGCATGATTTCTCTGCCCCATCTCACTCCTGAGTTTGTCCTCGTCCAGAACTTCGTGAAGATCGTCCCCTTCAACAATTGTAGCCTCAACCATGACCTCTATGTCTTTCATCGGGCTGGATTGCTCAAGTATGTGAACACATCTTCAGCATGTGACAATCCATGAAACTGAGAGAGTGAGGCGAGGGAGGGAGGGAGAGAGAGAGAGAGAGAGAGAAAGAGAGAGAAGACTTTTGCTAGAGGATGAGCAAGTAATTTTTAACTAATACGTGTAAGGGAAGAGTAATGCTGAGAAGAAACATCCTACGAGGTATTAAACATAATGTAGATCCACAATAATCAGAATAGTGACACACTGCCAATAGACAGAACAAAATAGCACAAGAAAGAATCCCTCCACAGACCCATAGTAAGAGCTGTGTATAAATGTGTAAATGTATACATCGGTGATAAAGTGTATGTCCCAGTAGTGAGAAGAGGAAAGATTATTCTGTTAATAGTAGGGCAAAATAAAGATAGAGACCTTTTTTCATATTTTAAGGTAACTAGATTCCCAGGTGACTGAGGAGTTAAACGGAAATATTGAAAACAAGATAATATAATCCTAGCTACTCAAAAAGTTGAGCTCTGAGGATTGATGTTAAAAGGCAGCCAAATTTGAAAGACTGTTTCTCCATTAACCAGAACAACATTAGAAGTGAAGGCATGACTCAAGTGGTAGAGCACCAGCCGTGCATGAAAAAGCTGAGTGAGAGCTCGAGGCCTTGAGTTCAAGCCCCAATACTGGCAAAAGAAATAAATAAATAATAGACTATATAGGATGGGGTGTGGTGGTGCACCTCTAATCCCAACCCTCCAGAAGCTGAGGCTAATGCATCTCTTGAGATATAGTCAATTCAAGGCCACCATCTTAAAGGAGAAAAAAAATAGGAAACAAATGCTCAGTGCTAAGTACTAGAATACAATGGAGAAAAACCTACAGATATGATCCCCGCCTCCTGTCTTTTCAAGACTCAAGCACACATGTAAATGTGAATCCGCAAGTGTGATGGGAATAACCTGGCGTGGATCAATGGTAGAGTGAGAACTTAGTGTGCATCAGGTGGGCCTGGGTTTTTCCCTTCTATGCAACAAAAGAAAAAAGAAAAAATTCAGCATGTTTTTTAAATAGTGTTTTTGAGCAATTCATATCTAATTTTAATTTGACTGATAATTTTTTAAAGCTGTCTCAGAACACCACAGCTACATGCTGGACTTCAGGAAGGGTAGAATGAACAAAGGTAGAATGAGAAGCACTTTTCTCTTGAGGGACATAGAATCCCTTTTCTTCACTTTTGGAGGTCAGGAACTTGGTTGCCTGGCCCTCCTTGGCTGCAGGGGGAGGTAGGAGATGCATCACTAGTCAGTTAAGCATGTTCCCAGAAAGAAAAAAAAAATGATTCAATTGATTCCATTATTCAGAACAAGAGGAAAGAGGTTACAATGGGACTTTCAGGTATATTTTTATTTTGCTATGTACAGAAGTTCTAGAAAGATACATAGGGTTCTATTTACCTGATGCTCCTCTGAGATGCAGGGCTGTGGGACGGATAGAATGAAGATGATCACCTATTCTTGCTTTGTTTTCATTAACTCAGCTCCATTTTTTAAAGAGCAATTTTATTTCATAGCAAAATAGAGCAGAAAATGCAGCTTCCACATGCACTTCCCATACCCCTATCAATGCTGCCCAGCTCCAGAATGGTCCATTTTTACAACTGATAAACAGATACATCATTATCAACCCAAGGCCATAGGTTATATTAGGTTTCCCTCTTGGTGTTATATGATCTATGCAAAACGTATACTGACATAATCCTATACAAAGTGGTTTCACTGCCCTAACAATCCTTTGTACTCTGCCTGCTCATTCCTAATTCCCTGTAATCCTGGCAACTAGTCTATGATTCACCTTCTGAGGCACCTTGGTTGCTTCCTCCGCCTAGGTTGAACTGTTATGAACAAAACCGTTTATATAAACACATTTGTGCAAGGCTCTCATGTGGACATAAGTTGTTAACTTACTCGGCTAACCAAGCGTTAAAATGCTGGATGCTATGGTCAGAATGTGTTCACTTCTGTAAGAAACTGGCCAAGTGTCTTCCAAAGTTGCTGCACTTGTCTGAGGATTCTCCCTGCCCCACACCTTCACAAGCACTTGCTGTTCTTAGTGATTTGTTCATTCTAGAAAGTATCAGGTGGCACCTCATTGTTGTTTTGAAACTTCCAAATCTGTAGTGAACAGATTTTTTTGTTGAACAAAAAAAAAATCTCTTTCATTCTAATTCATTCTGTTTACTGTGCTGAAGAAGCAGAAGTGATCCAACAGAAATCCTTGCTCTCATGAGCCTATACTCTGGCTAAAGGAAAAAGACATGAAAAGAAGACATAGAAGTTAAGGGGCAAATAAGGCGAGTTCAAGAGGGAAGGAGGGATGTGGAGGAGGCTACCTGCCCCCACGGTGCACAACAGAGGTGACTTGAGTGAAGACATGGAGAGGCGAGAGACTCATCACGGGGGCGTGGTGAGGGCACAGGATCTTGCCGTCTATTCCCTTTATACCATTGTTTTAAAATATAACACGATCTTCCATGTAGGTATTTATTTTTTTGCTGCACTCCCTTTGACATTTGGGATGCATTGTTCCTGCTCTTAAGTTTGGTTACTTTAAATTTCATGACTTCATGTTCTTGTCCTCCACCTCATTTCCTCCTTCTTCCCTTGGGAAATTATTTTTATGTCTATCATCTGCCCTCTGGCCATGCTGATGAGCACCAGGACAAATAATTCATTGAATTCTTAGTGGTGGCTACCTATTCTGTCAGCAATTCTACACCCCGCCTCCATGTAATCGCTTTCAGTGACTTCATCTTTTGAAAAGAGTATATCCCCCAATGGTTATGCGAACATTAAATGTGGACAAATGACGTTTTTGCTTCAACACTTTCACATTGAATAGTAATCTCGAGGATGTTTCCAAGCTTAATATAGGGTAATATAGTGTAAAATGCTTTTCTCTTTTTTCCTCCTGCTTGCCTATTCTTTACCTGTTCACTGGCCTTTCCTCCTTACTTATTCATTAGTGCAGGATGCATTTGGTGGACTGGCTGTGCATTCCATCTTGCTGCTTCTCCAAGCTGTTCTGAAATCTGACATTAAAAAAAAATTGGGCAAATATGTCTCAGATGGATACATTCCATTAATATTTATTGGGCTAAGAATTATTTCCCATGAATAAAATAGCCTTTGAATTGGATCATAGAAGTTTGTCGGCTTTGCTCAGTAAATGAAAATGTCTTAGGTAGCTGACCTCTGAATAGATCTTCCCCTCTGTTCGTCTTCTGTGTGTGTGTGTTTCATCTGTTTTTCCAAGTGGCTCACTTGGGCCTGGCTGCCTTTTTTATCACAACGACACCTATTTGAGACTCACATTATCATGGAGAATATTTAGTGATGACAATCCTCTTGTGCTCTTACTTGGCCTCATTGACTAGAATCCAGTAGAAACTTCCTTTTTTATTTTGTCATTATTTCTATTTATGGTCGTCATTTGGTGGTGTTGGTTTGTTCATTTGGTTGGTTGGTTTGGCGTAAGCTGAAATACCAGTAGCTGGATAATTGCTTTGTAGATCTATGACATTGTTCCACTGACAGTCTACCCGGCCCTCCCCCACTCCCGGAATTTAGAAAGTCTCAGATCTCATTTTCTTCTTTCTACTGTTATGTTTTGACTTACTGGCATCAACAACACTCTGTTTTCTGCAAGGCTGACATAAAATAAATTGGACACACACATACACTTGTAGGTGTCTACAACTATGTACTTCTTCAATTTAGGGCTGAAAAATCATGTGGTAAATATTTTCCTTTCCACTTTGATATATTGTTTTCTATTTTAGAATTTCTCTTGTGACTTTTGAGGTTGGATTCAGCAAAAAAGAAAAAAAAAAGTAAAAGACTAGAAATGTCATGTGATGCAGGTGACCAAAAGACTGTACATCCTTTAGTCCCAAGAAGGGACCATTGGGCAGGGATTTTCACATTTCTCCATGGAGACTGGACATTTCCTGAGAACTCATGGGTACATCAGAGAGAGAGTGTGTGTAAGAGAGAAGAGTGACCTGGGTATGGGAAGGGTTAGGAGAGCAAACTCCTCAATAGACCTTGCTTTTCCTGGTGATGGAGGGAGCCCTCTGGATGGATAAGGAAAACCCTTTAAGCTCTCTTCATATGTTCAGGGTGGCTTCAGAGCTTTCCTGGACCTTGAGTAAAGAACAAGTAAACTATTCTGGGTACTGAGTATCTATTTACTTTTGGGAAGGTCAGATAGGAAACAGAATGAAAGAGAAGGAGACGGGAACGTTCTTTTTCTAGGTGCTAAGCTTTGAAGCTGAAAGGTAGGGTCTACCATAGTAGCCTTAATGGACAAAGGAAGATCAGAACCTTGTTATGTGACGCTGTGAAAAGGTACAAGAAGGGTCACACTTGGGTACATCCAGTAAGCCACCATCTTTGCTAGTTCCGCCAGGACTCAGACTGATGCCAGACTGATGTATAGGCATCAAAAAGACTTAGTTTTTTTTCTTTCTTTTTAAATTGTTATTGTAAAGTTACCGTACAGAAGGTTACAGTTAGATAAATCAGATAATGAATACATTTCTTTTTGAACAGTGTTACCTCTTTCCTTCTTTTCTCTCAGTTTTCCCCTCCCGATCCCCCTCTCTCACAAGTGTTATAGTTCATTTTCAACATACCATCTAGTAAGTGTAACTACTGCATTCGTTCACCCTTTGTCCCACTATTTCTGTGTTCCTCCTTGCCCTCCCCGAAACAGATAAACTTACATACAAGACAAAAGGTACAGAAAGCAAAAGCAGTGACAAAGGAGGGAAAAAAAATAAGCAAAATAACATAAAACCTCTTGTTTCCATTTCTTGAAAATAAGCAAAATAACATAAAACCTCTTGTTTCCATTTCCTGGAGTTCATTTTGATAAATATCATTTTATATGATCATATGCAAATAGTTATTGAGCCTTTGTGATCATCTCCTAAGAATATTATTAGTTTTTAAAAAATATTTACTAGAGC